GAACGCTGGCAATCCCCCATCCCCCAACCTCATTAACGACCAAACCCAACCCTCATTAATTAACAACCCCCCCCCCTCCCCCACACACACCCACCACACGCTAATTACCCACCGACCCCGCCGGAAAACCCGGCAACGCCCGACCCGGCAACGCCAACGCCCACGGCAGCTCCAACGGCGCCGGCACCGCCGAGGAACCCGGGAACGCCGGGAACGCCAAAGCCGCCGGCGCCGGAACCGACGGCGACGAGGACGCGGCGACGACGCCGGAACCGACGACGGCGACGACGCCGGAACCGACGGCGCCGGAAGCGGCGCCGGCCTCGTCGGTTCTGCCGGCGGCGGCGTGGGTGCGCCGGTGCCGGTTGAGGTGGGAGCTGCGGCTGAAGCGTTTGCCGCAGTCGCGGCACTCGTAGGGCTTCTCGCCGGTGTGCACGCGCCGGTGGATGGTGAGCTCGGATTTCTGGATGAAGCTCTTGCCGCACTCGGCGCACTGGAAGGGTTTGTCGCCGCGGTGGATGCGCTGGTGCTTGATGAGGTTGGAGGAGACGCTGAAGCGTTTGCCGCACTCGCGGCACTTGTAGGGTTTCTCGCCGGTGTGCATGCGGCGGTGCTTGGTGAGGTCGGATTTTTGGATGAAACCTTTGGAGCACTCGGGGCATTTGTAGGGTTTGTCGCCCAGGTGAGTCCGTTGGTGTTTGACCAGGTTGGAGCGGACGCCGAAGGTTTTGCCGCACTCGTGGCACGCGTGGGGTTTCTCGCCCGTGTGCGTGCGCCGGTGCTTGGCCAGCGCCGAGTTCTGCCCGAAGGTTTTGCCGCACTCGGGGCAGGCGTGAGGCTTCCGGCACGTTTGAGTCGCTCCGTCCTTTAAATCCGAACCCAAATCCGAACCCGACCCCAAACCCGACCCCAAACCCGAACCCAAACCCGAACCCAAACCCAACCCCGACCCCAAACCCGCCCCGAACCCCAAATCCTCCCCCTCATTCTTCCCGCACTCCCCACATTTCTCCTCCCCCAAAACCCGCCGGCGTTTCTGGAAGTTTCTCCCGCTCCCTTTCCCGGTTTTGCCGCATTCCCGGCACGGCTCCCGATGGATTTTCCGGTGCCGCTCCAAATGGGAGCTTTGGGAGAAACTTTTGCCGCAGCTGCCGCAGCGGAAAGGTTTGTCCCCGACGTGGATCCTGCGGTGCCGATCCAAGTGGGAACTCCAAGAAAAACTTTTCCCGCATTCCCGGCACTCGTAAGGTTTGCCGGGAGCGTGGCCTCGCCGGTGCTGCGCCAACGCCGCCGCGGCGCCGAAACTCTTCCCGCATTCGCCGCATTTGTGCGGTTTCTCCGCCGGCTCGCGCCGGTTCGGGGCCGTTTGGGCGTTTTTCGGCTCCTCCTCGCCGCACTCGGCGCAACGCCCGCCGCGTTCCGGCATCGCCGCCGCCGTCGCCGCCGCGGCGTGGGTTCGGCGATGCCGATCCAAATGGGAGCTCCAAGAGAAGCTCTTGCCGCACTCGGCGCACTCGTAGGGTTTCTCGCCGGTGTGAATCCTCCGGTGCCGCTCCAGGTGGGAATTCCAGTTGAAGCCTTTGCCGCAATCGCCGCATTTGTACGGTTTCTCCTCGGCGTGAAGCTTTTGGTGTTTCGCCAACGCCGAAGACGCCGGGAAATTCTTCCCGCAGACCCCGCACCGGCACGGCGCCGCGACGCCGCCCCGGCTCCGTCGCTGCCGCGCCGGCGACGAGGCTTTCCCGCAGTCGGGACATTCGTAGGGATCGGCGCCGCCGCGCCGGCGAGGCGCCGGATCGACGCTCGACCGCCAACTCTTGCCGCACTCGTGGCATTTGTGGGGTCGCTCGGAGCCGCCTCGGCGCCGTTTGGGCGACGCCAAAGCTTTGCCGCAGTCGCGGCACCGGAATTTTTTGGCTTTGCCCGGGCGTTTCGGTGGCGTTCGGAGGGATCCGCGTTCCGCTTCCGGAGTTTCGGGGCTCGCCGGGGGTTTGGGGGTCGCCGGAATTTCGGGTTTTTCCAAAGGGTCCGGAGGAGGCGAGGCCTCGGCGCGGGCGGTCGGAGAGGCCGGGGCGGCGTCTGCAGGGGGGGAGAAAGGGGGGCCTGG